TGAGGTTCCTGTCAGCCCATTTCTCCAGCCTGTTGAGGTCCCTCTGGAGGGCAGAATGACCCTCTGGTGCATCCAGAGGGTCCTCCCAGTTCGGTGTCATCAGCAAACTTGCTGAGGGTACACTATGTCTCACCATCCAGATCATTAATGAAGATGTTAAACAGGAGTGTAAACTCAGTATTGACCCCTGGGGTATACTGCTAATTACTGGCCTCCAACTAGACTTCATGCCACTGACCACCACCCTCTGAGCCTGGCCGTTCAGTCCATTTTCAATCCACCTCAGTGTCTGCTCATCCAGCCTGTACTTCACCAGTTTCTCCATGAGCATGCTATGGGAGACAGTGTTGAAAGCCTTCCTGAAATCTAAGTAGATAGTATCCACTGCTCTCCCCTCATCCACCAGGCCAGTCATTTCATGACAGAAGTTTATCAAGTTGGTCAAGCATGACTTTCCCTTGGTAAATCCATGCTGACTATTCCTCATGACCTTCTTGTCCTTTGTGTGCCTGTAAATGGTTTCCAGGATGAGATGTCCCATTATATTGTGAGAGGTGAGAACGTCATACATTCCCATATATTACAATTCACCAGCAAAACATCCAAAACTTACGCAACTACAAAATTAAAGACAGTACAACTACAAACTGAAACAGCTCCCCACCAAAATCCCTAAATTCAAGGGATATTTGGCTTTGCTAAAAAATAACTAAACAAGCAGCGTTTGAAGCTTGCACACGTGAATTGGAGTGAGCAGGCTGTGAGCAAGGTGAAACAGGTCATGAATCGAAGGGAAAGACATGAAGCATAGTAGCAATGCACTAAACTGGGCAGAGCCTATGCACTGTAAACAGTGACACATCCAGAACTGGCCTAGATGAGGCATGACAGTTCATCTGCATGCTAGCAGGCAAAGAACAATTCTTTTAATTTCTGTGTTAATATCAAATCTGCCAGAGTTCCTTAAAAAAATCCAAAGGGAAAAAAAGTGTTTACCTGATACTTTAAAACGTCCACATTGTAATAGGATGCAGATGGATTTTGCTCTGATAATTTCTTGAGGTAGACAGTTATAGCTTGCATGTTCATCCAAAAATCCTTAGTACTGGAGTCACTTTGTGACTGATCACTAGAAAGAAAAAGAAAGGTATGAGTTGGAAGGCAACACTGAGTTTTATTATTTTGGACGTCTAAAACTTAAGATTAGATCTTTCACCTTCTTCGCTATTTCAAGCAAGAATTTGTTTATTGCTTCATAACACATAATTGTACCGTCCTAAATATTAAGATGAATAACTGCTTGTTGTATGTAGTAAAAATTCTCCTTCCAGGTTGTGGAGCAGTGACTTTCCTCCACTGATGATCTGCATCACAACATGGAGTTAATGCTGAATTTGGATTTTACATTTAATAAAACTCAATTTCATTTCAATGCAATTAGGTGTCATGAGGATGTGGGACGTGGGGATGGAAGTGGTATTTGAAAAGGAATGTTATCCAATTTGGAATAAATCCTAAAATCATAATTAGCTTTGGTTATGACATAGCTTCACTGATGCACTGAATTAAGATTGGTGCTGTATGTGTTACCATATGTTCATATATTTGTAGAGAGTGTAAGCTTTCAAAATATTTTCAATTAGAAGTGATTTTCAAACTATTATAAACAATTGTTTCTCAGATACTTATAGTCGCAATTCAAACTTAGTAACAATTTATTATATCACTTCTATATGTAGGTAAGAGCGCACATGACTGCAGAAGCAAAATCCTGTTTGGGAGCTACTGGAGCATGGTGTTCTGCAGATGAAGAATATTTTCAGCTCTGGTTGCATCATGTTTTTTTGAATAATGATGAAGCTTTTAAGAAAACTGATTCAAAACCAAAATTCAAATCACTTAATGTCTGCAGCTACAGTGAGGAACTGCATCCATCCTAAGGAGGAGCGCAGAGTGTGCCTGCAGAGTGAAAGCTGACAATGACCACTTGGAACACAGGACGTATGACCGCAGTGGGTTGAATGTCTGAGAACAGTGACTTATGTACCAGTACTCTGTCCAATTTACTTAGAGTTTCATTCTCAATACACTGTTGTGGTTCATGAAATTTCCATTTTCAGTAAAATATATAGATAAACATTTACTTATCACTGCAGAGGCCTTCCACAATTCACATAAATGAAACCAGTAGCAAAATCTTTCTGCTGCTCCACAATCAAGTGCAATTCAAATCAGGAATTCTGATATCACCACAAATATCACTGTCATTAAAAACTTTAATCTCTGTAAACACCATGCAAATTATACCCTTTGCAGTATATGATGAAAAGTCAAATTATTACCATACGAGTTTAACTTTGTACATATCCCTTATATTAATCCTTTCTAATTAGAGGTGAAGCGTTACAGCACTCAGACAAGAATATTAGACATTTTCACTTTTTTTGCAAAATATACTTTTTCAGTATAATTCACTCTGTCAGATACAGCTCTGCTAACATTTCAGTTATAAACAGTCATGTCAAAAAACAATTAAATTTAATTTTGTATGAATCATTCATTATATTAAGTATAAATGATCAAAATGAAATTAAATACAAAAGAATGGATGCATATGGTTTGATTCTTTATTTCAGTAATTTAAAAAATGTAGCATCTAAAAGCATTTAACTCTTCTTTTAATAACTTCTCCACAAAAGATTAAATAGAAACTGCTCCGCTGAAACTGATCTCTGCTAAATATTTACAGCTTTTACACTTTTGGGTTTTTTTTTTTGAAGATCTCCAAGTGCTGTGATTTCAACAATTATCCTACTCAATCAGGAGCCTTTTTTCTTAAGAGTCCTTCCAAGCATGCTGCTACACACCTGAGAGATACAGTTATGTAATGGATCTGATCTACTGTAGAAATGATACAGCTTAAAAACACACTAGGAAGTGACAAATGAGATTAGGTGTAGCTCCTACTACTTGTTTTCCATTTAAGGCTACTGTTTCATCATTTAATCTTACCATTGTTACTACTGTATAAAGAAATCATTCATAAAATGCATGTAAAAACACAGCTACATCTACAAACTATTTTTTATGGCTCCTGTTACATTCAGCACAAATTTCAAGTCCAGTAATCACTGAGATTTTTAATGATAGTTGTAGAGAGTGCTGACCTGAACAAGATTAACTCAGGAAAGTAAATTATGTATAAGCAAATCAACAAGACTGTAGAGAATTCTGATTTGCATATACAACAACTCACATTTTTACAAATCATGTAGTTTACTATTATATTAAAAAAAAAAATACAAAACCTGTATACAAGTTGTGCATTTGGAAGAATCTGCTCTAGTTTGCTTGTGTTTTTTACCCTGAAGCAGAGCACAGCTGGAGATGGGTTGCTGGTGAAGACTTTAATAATCCCACTTGGGAATGATACTGTCATATCACCAGTGATCTTCACAATACATCTAGAAGAGAATGAAAACATCAGTTTTATTGCAACTCATTAACTGCCTAGTTTTAATACTAATTTTAAAGAAATCACTGTACTTTCACAGTCTGATGAGCTGAATTAAAAACAGAAAATCAATTTCAAATGAGGGTAATGTGGCACTGTGACAATGTACTATCCCTTTCAACTTGGAAGTCACATGAAATAAGTAAAGAAAAAAGCTTAGCTGGTTAAGCATACAGTAGTCTTGGTGGATATTTGTCAGGCTTTGAAAACATGGCACAACTATGCTTAGGCAAGGCCTAAGTAGCATAGCAACGGATGTGACAGAGGGAATGAGGTGCTTTTAGCTGCGCAAATTTACATGTAGCACCTACCTGACTATGATAAAAACCCTTCTTGTTTTCAGTGTTCTCATTGAACACATTTTTGTAAAGCAGGGATATATGAACTCCTAGCAGAATGCAGGCCAATACAGAGCAATAAGCCACTGTTGTCACTTATACCAGGGAAAAAAAACCCTTTGAATCCCCCTTCTAATGTATATACATTTTCCCCCAAAATATTAAGAGTAAAACCAGTGCGTTTTCTTATTTTAACTTATTACATTCAAAACAATTCACTATTTAACTAACTTTGTGGGATCTGCTCCTTTAAAGTAGGCGTTAACAGATTCAGTAAGGGCTACTGCAACAGGCAAGGTGTCCTGGTTTCCAAGGCTGACAGGGCTGGGACCACGTGAAACACCTAGAATACATACAGTGTATAGGTTTAATTTTCAAAAAGCTTAGCAATAGATTTCAGAACGGTTGACTACATCTGTAATTTTCACAAGAGGTTATCACCATCAAGGTCACAGTAGCATCTGAAGTATTACTTGAAAAGTGTGTAGAAAGATATGAACATAGTACAGTACAATCGCACCATCAAAACACTGCTTAGCAGCCTGAGAAAACAGGACTCTCAGTATGACATTATGTAAATGGACAGACACAAGGAAATATATATGAGACAGAGGAACATGGCATGAAAATGGCTACTGATGAAAGTGAAGTCGACAAATCCAAAGGAAATTAGACATTGACTACAATACTTAAAAACAATCCCTACTGTATGCTTATTGTATGGAAAAATGTGTGATAAAATGGTCATGGAAATGCAAGGAATTCTCTCACAGTGTGCATGAACTTAAATGCAAATACATTAATATTACCCCACATAAGTGTATTGTTGAATATTCTTTTAACGATTTCAGCCAACAAAGATTACAATTCTCAAGCAGAAATTGTTGGAGAAGCCTTCACAGATGCCTGTGCCAACACAACACAGTTCCAATGCAGAGCTATAAAAATCAACTCAGACCTCATGCTAAGGCTTTTTGAAATGTATGTGTACAATTGATGAAACTGGTTGTCATGGGATTTTACCTTTCACCCATTTTCTATACGTGTACTGAATATAAAAGACAATACTGGAAGTTCCGTCTTTTTATTAGTGCAGCAGTGTAGTGGAGAGCACCTTACTAATTTTTTGTACCACTGCTGAAATGGCCTGTATCACGTAATATTATCTATCACAAAGGAGGCACAATCTTTCTCGTTTCATGAGCAAAATGAGCAATTTTTCTTTCATACCATAAAATAGAAACAAAACGGTTCCATATAATATTGATCATGGCAAACTAATCCTATTTACTCTAAAACAGAGGCTGTGCCTTCTGAGCTCTTTCAGAAGCAAAAAGGAAGCTGGAACCTTGTTCTTCACAGAAGATGAATTCAGAGATAAGTGAAAGAAGTAGTAACAACATGAGAGTAAAAGACAGGAGTTGGTCTAATTCTGCTACCTCATACCTCACTCTCCCATCATGATCTCTTGCCTAAGGTAGTAAAATGTTCAGAATACTCCTCAGCACCATGAAGAAAAATCTTAGTGCAACATTCAGGCCTCCTTAGATCGAAAGTGATACTCTACTCACAACTGTTCAAAACCAAAAATTCTTAGATGAATGAAATATTATGATGCTGGCTACAAAACACCGATTTATTTATTTTTTCATTATGAACAGTAGGTTGTTTTCATTTATTCTTTCAGACAATACATGGGTCATGTTTCCAAAGTTTTCTTTCTCTCCCTGAAAACTACCAATAAAAGCTGTGATTCTCAATAGTCTCAGGAATCCAGAAATCATGATTTCAAAAAAACAGATGTGCAATAAAATAATGAGTTAACAACAATCAGAAATTCTGTTTGGTCAAATACTGAACTCCAGAAGTAATCTCCACCAAAGCCAAAATATGCATTCAATGGATGTGGCACTATGGTTGCTGGGGTGTTTTACTGTCTTTTTTCCCCAATTTACTAAGAAACAAGAAAAAATTGCAGAGCAGATCGGAGGTGATTACCTTGTATTAATTATGCCAGACTGTTTACAGATGTATAAATTATTTTTAAATCTTTTACTCAAAATGTGTATATTTTTATATTGATATTTGAAAATCATGCAGAGGAATGCAAATATATACATGATATTCCTATCGGTAAAAGACAAATACTGATTTCTTGACTGAAGAGTGAAATTTATTAGGAATAATAACACTATTTTTACTTTTTTGGGGGGAAGACTGAAACAAATATATATATGTATATGCATTTCTCTGAGATGTATTTGAGGGACTACAAATGAGATAGCTTCTGTCTTATTTGCTCTGCCCCCACTGTTTGTCACCCTTTGATTCATAAAAATCCATGTGTTCTACTAAAAAACAACAAATTGGAACAAACGTAACTGCTTAACCTAACTCTGGAAGTCATCGCTTTGTTGCCTTGCTGCTGAAAATACAACGCAATGCAGCAACATCCAGCTTCAGCGCTTTCCACGCCTGCTGCGAGCTCTCAGAGAGATGGGACGTCACAGAGCCGCGCCGAGGCGGCCTCGCCATGTCTCAGGCTGCAGCTCAGCTCGAGGCTCCAGTGCGAACACCTTTGGCAGTGACAGCAAAGCTGGCTTTGAAGCCCTGCCACCTGCCTCAGCCCTGACTACTATTAACAGCCCCTGAGCTGTGCTGATACCAGAGCTAGTGACGCAACCATGCAAATGGTTGCATTGAAACACTCAAGGAGGTTGTCAAACTGCAGAATAAGAGACTGCATAATTGATCCTAAAAAGGGCAAATAAATAAACCTGATCAAATGGTTTTAGTTCAGCTTAGGAACAAAGATTCAGACGGTTTTAATATTGGCTAAACAGCTGTCGTGAAAATAAATTTTATTTTAAAAAAAGATTACCTTTATTATGTGTATCTTCAAAGATTTGTATTTATGTAAATACAGAAACATTTTTACCTACTTGTCTTATGAGAATAAGGATTGTCAAAGTAAAAATGTATTCACTTTACTTGAAAGAAAGTAGTAATGACAAACCAAAGAAGCAAGACCAAGTTTCAGCTTGTTTGGGGCAATGGCGGGGATAGACAGAAGACTACGTTATATAAAAGCAGTTATATCAAGTTTTGGTGATTTCAGCAACATGTAACTTGTTAAGTTGTTGAGCTTTCAAACTACTTCTATCTGCCAGATACCAGAAATAGCTGGAGAAACTTGTTTCAAAAGAAACACAATTTTATTAGGTGTAGTGTATTAGGATGATTAGTTAACATGTAAATCTGCTTTGAGTACAATACCTGGTGGTGTCTCACAAAGCTTTTCAATTGTAGGAAGATTTCCAATCAAAAGATCATCCTCTATTACATTTAAATGAAACAAAACATTGCAAGAAAACAAAATATTTCAAGCAAAAATAGATGTTAAAAAAATCAGTATATATAAAAATACTTTGCAAATTAAAATAAGGCTAAAGCATAAAAGAACCATTTGATTATGCATGCCTTAAAGTTTGTTTGGGAAAAGATAGTTAAAGTCAACCCTCCATTACTCAGAACAAATAGGGTAGGGGAAACACTGGATTGTGCAAAAGTCAGAAGAATACAGACAGTAGTGCAGAGTATATCCTTGTGCCCCAAAGTCACTCAGCTGTCTGCACTGTCCTGCCCAGCTCTCCAGGACTATTTAATTCATACAGTCAGTGCAGATGGAACTGGCCTTGTTTATTTTTGCTAGGCCAGGTTAATAAACATGTCAAACCTCAGTGTCAGCACACACCTCCTTACCTCCTCCCTCACCTCACGACTTCACTCTGTCACTGTCTCCCACAACACACACACTCAGAGCTGGGGCTATTGATGCTGCTGCCACCGACTTTTGGTTCCTTGGCACCCCAGGGCTGGCCTGAGGATGTGAGCCTGGATGGACTTTGGCAACCAAAATATCAGTTATCTTTCTGTGATGCTTCTCAGCATTTGGGAAACTGGTGGACACTGAACTGTAGCAGCTAAGGCTGGGCAGACCTTACTAGCTTTGGTCCTGCACAGGGTGGAAACAGCTGCACTGCTTTCAGCACAGAACTCTCACTAGAAGCTGTGCAGATGCTCTCCTGAGCTGCTGAGCCTGGGTGAGGAATCCTTGGCGTTAGTAACATTCACAGATAACTGTTAACTCCAGAATCTGATTTAACTTGGGACTGAAGTGGTAATGGTGTTCAGGAATGAAATACTTCAATTCTGCTAAAGAAACAAGTTAAAATGTCTTTAAAAAAAAAACCAAACCAAAAAACCCCCCCAAAACCCCTCCTAATGAGTCTCCTTTTCATTTGTTATAACCAAATACAAAAATCGAAGGACTTTCCTTTAAAAACATGAGAAATCTTCTGAAATTAGTGCCAATACATGAAGCCTAATTTGCTTTCATCTTCATCTTTGTTGTTGTTTGTTTTGCTTTTACCAAACACCTCTGTTTAACTTATATACTTCACTAACTTGAAGAAAAAGAAGCATTAGTTTCATTTTTCTTGGAAAGTGCAACTACAGGATAACAAACAAAATAAAAAGAACATAAAAGAACTCAATTTTGTGAACATTTATATTCATTCAAATTTATCAGTACCCCAAAATATTTCTGCACCTATACAATAACATCTTCTGAACAAATACATAACAACATGCTGTGCTTGATGAATGGATATACAAGCATACCAAATAAAAATTCATGGAATATTAATTTTGAAAAATATTTCTTTAAAGAACATGCTGTAATTGGATCTATGGTCTAATCCAATTAAATCCGCTGTCCTGTCTCTCAGTGTCATTTAGAAGCAGGTATTGCAAAGGATGCCTGAAGCACCTAGACTGGACTCGCATATGGAACAACTAACTCCAACAAATGGTTTTCCTAACAGGTGGAACCTAGTGGCAGAATTCTGCTATTTTTAAAATAAGTTAAAGTGGTTAATTTAACTTACCAACTGTAGGTGTGTTTGCTGCACTGAGAGAAGCAGAAGAGGATATTGAGGAAATGCTCTCTGCACGTGCCAAGGGAGCTGCAGGAGGTGGACTTGAGTTAGAGGTCAAAGGAGGGCTGAATGGCCTAGGCTGAACAAAAGAGATTACAAGAGTATTACACAAAGTGGTTTTAAAGAGATGAGAAAAAGACTGTACATAGAAGAGTGCTTCATTTCATGCCCCAATCAATTTTGTAGTGCTTCTCAGCATAGTTCCTTTAATGCTTTATCTACCCTAGTTTTTAGGGTAAAACAGAGAACCCATATTTTCCATTGGAATCAATTCCGTTATTCCATAGATTATCATTATTAATTTTTTGCCTGGGTAGTTAAGTCTAATATATTTGATTACGGAGCAGCCTGTCAATACTTGTGCTATAACACAGTAGTAGAACCTAAGCCTACAGCCCTGTCTGTGTATGCAGCAAATGTGGATTTACAGAGCTAAAGGAGAGCTACTAACAAACTGGAAGTGAGTCCAGCAGAGGGCAACTAAAACAGTTGGGACTGGAGTACCTGAGAGAGAGGGACAGGCTGAAGGACCTGGGTTTGTTCAGCCTGGAGAACAAAAGCCTAAGGACGGATCAACTAGCAGTCTTTTACTAGCTAAAAGTGGGTACAAAGAAGGCAGAGTCAGGCTCTTCTCAGAGATGCAAGAGCTACAGCAAAGGAATTCAGCTGAATTTAGGGAAGAAATTCCTTCTTGTAACCTCGTGATTAAACCCTGGGACAGGCTGCCCAAAGAGATTGTAAGATTCCCCCTCTCTGGAGATTTTCAAAGCTCAGCATATCCCTGAGCAACCTGATGCAATCTTGAAGCTGGCCCTTCTTTGAGCAGGAGGTTGGCCTAGAGATCTTCAAAAGTCCCTTCTATCCTAAATGTCTGGATGGTTTTATGATTCACTTAACTGTTAAGGTATTAAAATAACTAATGATCATTTTGGGATTAACCTATCTAAACTGTACTGGAATACCTAAAGCATGTATTGTGGCTGGGTAACTGTTTTGCTTTGTTTTGTTTTAATTTTATTTCTGTTCTATCACACTTGTTGCTGCGTATGTGGCTTTTATACGGACTATGGGATTTGAAAAGGAGTTAATATATAATGAAGACAACTGACAATCTTCCACTTCTATGCAGATAATACCCAATTTCTAAAACAACAGTATAAAATGAATGTAGGTTTGTGCAGAATCATACTTTATAGCAGAACAGTACCAGCTAAATTCTTCTCTTTATTTATGATGACATGAAGAACAGATTTCTTGGCCTAAGAGCAATTAGAACGATTTTATATTGGAATGAGAAAAGAATCTCAAAATGAACCCTATTCTGACCTTACAGAAATGCAAAACAGTTTAAAAATGTTTCAGTTTTGTGAAAGCATAAGACCAGAATTTTGTCTGTAACAAGAACATGGTGAAAATATCTTGCTACTTTGAAAGACAGTAAGAGGCTATTACCACGGTAACATTTTTCCAAGTCAGTAAGTCAAATGAAACCCAAAGAATCCTAATATTCGCAGAGGAGATTAGCATGGCTTGGTCTGATATGCTGTCTGGGTATTAGCATTCTTTGCAACATTCCTTATCGGCAGGTGGACCTGTGCTGCAGGCAGTCAGCAGAGATGCAGGCAGTGTGCAACCTCTTGCTATCCCGATGGGCAGCTGCTGCAGTCTGCCACCTGCCTTCTCCGCCAACCAGCACCAAGGGCAGGGAGAAGTCACAGCAGGGCTACTTGTGTCAACACATGACTGATAAAGATCTACTTAATACCATTCGTTCCCCGAAGCTTTGGTGATATCCCTAAATCAATGGAGCTTTGTTAATAACTTCGCTAGTAGTTCACATTTTGAAAACTTCAATCTCATACACATGCTAACCTTTCATTATCAACTTATTGATCTGTTCAATTAAGAACATTCAGCAGATGCAAAAATTATGCTTTGGACCGTCATAGTTCTGTTAAGAGTTATTTTGTTATAGTAATACAGTTATCATGAACAACTTCCATGCCTATCTGGCAATCGTGAAAATCTGCTTATGTGATTCCTTGAACATTGGCTGGAAAGTAACTCCACTGTAACAATGTAAATGAATGGTATATCTGAAATCAAGTTACAATGGAGGATTAAAAAAAAAAAACAAACAAAAAACAAACCAATCAATACATACTATTTCATTAATCCCACCAAGTTTCCCAGTAGACAGCTTTGGTCTTGAGGCAGGCCTTGGAGGGGGTACAATGGTGCCTACAGAAAGAGGAGTTGTGGGCCTTGCTGAAAGAAAGCAAATTTAAGGAAATAAATATTAGAAAGGTCACACTGAACATAAATACGTACTTGAATAGAATAACTGGAAGTTACATGTCTACTAAAAATTCCTATTTTACAAGCTCCGTTTTGTAAGATTTATCACTAATCATAAATGCTTTTAAAATAGGGCCATGTGATACCCTGAAAAGTGACTCTAAAAATGGCATCATGGGTTTTCTCATTGCTCTCAAATGATTTTATACCAACTATTCTTGGAGGTTTGTATGTAAAAAGATATTTTTACCCGAGTTTCCTTTTGTGTATAATCTATATGGATTCAGAATATAGGACAGTCTTTCATGTCTCACCACAAATGGAAAATTCAGTGGAAATTCATATTTGGTCCTGACTGACAATGGCATAACTGTTTACACCAAATCTTGCCCACTGGAATCCCATTGACATCAATAAGTATACACCAGTTTAACAGACAAATTACTCTGTTGATTGTAAGAACACACTAACTCCTTATTGTCTCTTAGCCAAGCTATCAGAAGTAAAAAGCAGTTAAAAAAAAATACTTCCCCCATGTTCTTCTAAACGTAACAGAAACAATTAACAGATGGTGGCAGCAGTACAAAGATGCCACTTTTAGAGAGTCACTTTTCTGAATAGAGCGAACAGAACTGTATTTCAAAATAAATGTTAGATGTCATTCAATAAGTACGCCAGGTCTAAAATTAACTTCAAAATAGACTGAAATCCTAATATATGACTATGTTGTTGCAGCACATCCTATTATCTCCCTCGAATTATTCTGGATGGTGGTTCTTTAATCAAATCAGTTAATATTATTTAAAATGCAACTTTTAAGTAGGTGTTTTCTCAGGCATTCAGCATAACTCTACTGTTGTTTAAGTCCAGGATTTTCATCACTGACTTGGGGAGAAGGAGATTAGGCTAATACTGACCACATCTACCTTAAGAGTTGCAAACTCAAATGTCCCCAGATAAATTAGCTTCTAAAATACCAGTCATTCCTTTAAAATTCTTATTATGCCCCAAGACAACAGTGCATGCTAAATACTGAGTAGTCTGCTGCAGTACCACAGGTATTCAGTGAGTCATGGCACACTTGCCCAAATGCACTTTTTCTTTGCTCTCTTATTATGTAGCATTACTGTGACATCATCCACGCTTCAAAATACTGGGTGTTAAAAAGGCACAGTTTTAAATCCAACTTATTTAACTTTATTTAATCTGAAAGTATCTATACAAAGCCATTTAGGAATGGAATTGTTTTTGCAAATTCAATCACTTAATCTTTGAGATCTCACGTCTGACATCCCACGAAATTACATTCCTATTTCTAGAAAAGCAGAACTCTGCATAGTTAAGAGAAAGCACTTAACTGAAGAATTTGAGTTTTTCTTCTTATTTCAAGCTGAATGTTTACTTCATTGTCCTAATTTTTAAGGAAGTGGATGCTAACACGCAGTTTAGTGCATTCTAAGTAAGAAGATGAGTTAATTTTAACATCAGGTGAGCGATAATAACAAAAAGAAAAATGAGTCCAAAGCTTGCTTTTTGGAGTCAGTTATTAGCAAAGAGCAGTACACAATGCATGCTTGCCATACCCTTATTTGTATGAGCACAAGAAGACACTAAACTATAGTCCAGTAGTGCTGAAGATGATGTGGAAGAAATTTCAGCAGCAGTGCCAGTTTCTTCAATGAATAATTGTTCATGGCATACAGTATTATTGAAAAGGTCACTTTGATCCTCAGAAGCACAGCTGTTGGAAGAATTCCCAAGCAAAGCAGAAGAGGCAAGGCAGGTATTTTCAGTTTTAAAATGCAATCTCTGGGGCTCCTTCTTGTCTGCGCTTGTGGGTCTAATTGTAAGAAGTTCATCAGCAAAGGAAATCCACTGACTCTGAGACCGTGAAACACAGGATAAAGTACTGGTACTCCCTGATGGCGCTGCTGTAACACCAGATTTGCACGAAGTGCTAATGGTAAAGTCTGGTGAGGATGGGCTTGTAGACCCAGAATCTGTCTGGTGTCCAAGCAAAGACTGAGATACTCTACACCCAGGCAAATCAGTGGTAGATGAGGAGGAGCTCCTATTGTGCTCTTTTAGTGTAGCTGAAGGAAAAGGGAAGAATTGAAACTAGGACCAACACTGAAAAGACAAAAATTTCAATATTCAAAAAAGTATTCAGTATCCACTGCAAGAGGATTACTAGCCAGCATGAAAAATAACTGCTCTACTTGGCTAAAAATCCCACCACTTACAAATAAAATAAAAAAACCCAGCCACATATCACATGTACTTCATTCATACTGCCAACCAGGTCACTTTCCATTTTTTAAGTAAGCCAAAAAAGTAATCTGTTGTGTTCCTCTCCACTTAAGGCCCTACTTCTCATGACTTTCCTTATTACTCTAACTTTCTCCCTGTTGTGGTTTAACTTCCTCTCATTTTTGTCTTTTCCTTCTTGTGTCCTACTCCATTTTTGTTTCCTCTCGATAACTTTCTGTTTTTAGTTTCTTTCAAAGTTATTTAATCAAACTTATCCTATCCTGTTCCTTCCAAACATTTTTGTCCTCTTACCCGTAACATTTGTAATGGGAAGGCCCAACATAAATGGGTGTCCTGTGAATGAATGAGGACAATGCAGTCGTGAGATCCTGTTTGATATTCTTCTGTCTGTATCAATCTGTATCTAGTGAGTAACTATACGTATGAGGCATCATCTACCCCAATTTATTTCCCCTCTCATCCCATAGTCTTCAGGCTGCTGGAAAACAGCAGTTTTCCACAAATATTCCCTGCACTTGGCTGTTGCTTGTTGCAGTAGATAACAACAGAAGCAGAAAATGCAAGGTTAGTCAATTCTCAACATCTTGCAGATTGGCAAAGCTAGGAGCAACAGCGCAGTGACATATAGAATCAAAAAAGAGAGCAAGACGTTTAAAAGTCCAGATTAGAAGTACAGGTATCCTCTCTACAGTGGTCCTTTTGTCCTGAACAAGTACATTCTCTAAGCCCACATAGACTGAGTTTTAACACAGCTTTCTCATTCTAACAGGTATTTTAACTATCATTCAAAGGCTTTAAAATACTACTATAAATCCTGTTCAAAAAGGAATGTGGAAATGTTTAAAACTTTTAAAAATACACATGGATGAAAATGAGGAAGATAAATAAAAAGAAGCATTTTTACAATATTGATAGCTGGCTAAAAAATGTCTATTGTGTTTGTTCAAGATAACAAAGTTAGCTTAAACTACTAATAAAGCAGGATTATTCATGGATGACCAAAGTTTACTTCTGTGCTGCATAAACCACTGTCTGCTCAAATACCATGGTAGTTTAAGTGTTCAATGATTAACACAGAGTTATGAAACAATATCTAAAGAAAAGTTTTAACAGTAAAAAGAAAAAAGGTAATCTGTGGGACATGCTACATCATGCTATGCAGATATGCTGTATACAAAACAACTAATTTATGTAATTTAAGTTTTGGACTGAGATTCTCAAAAGCTTTAAGCATCAGCTTACTTATATTAACTTTCAAGTTGAAGATAAAACACTAATTTCAAGGAAAATATAACCAGGTCAAACTTGTGTATTTTTTAAAGTCTTTAGAACTAAGTTGCAGGTTACTGAGCATCAGAACTTGATTTAAATAACAATATGACCTACATCGATCCAGTATTTTTTTTCCCAAGTGTATTAGTAATTTGTTATACTTTAGGACACCCACTTTCTACTTAACTTCACGGATCATTTCACAAGTGTAAATATCTTAGTTAACTCCTAGAACAACAATCCTTTAAATAATTATTTAGCAGATAAAGTTTGCCAAGGCACAGATGTCTTGTATCTAAAAGCGACTTATGCATGCAGGACACTATATTCTGCCAATTTCAATGAAACACAGGGCTCTGTGCCTAAGCTTCTTTCGGGTATGAGGGCCCAGGTGGATGACTGCTCCCCAGATATGGCCACAGAGCACGTTATGGATCCCAATTGCTTGTCACTACTCATCAGCCAGAGACTACTTTCTCCACAGTTCTGCTGCCAGGAGGGACTGTATGAACATTTCCTAAGGTGCTTTGACTTCCCATCCAGGCATACCAATAAAAAACTGGATACAGTAACAACCACCAGCACAACAAATTAAGTATCCTCTGCCTTCCGCTACAGACTCCAACACCAGACCAAAGCCTGCAAAACATCATTTTGAGAAAGCACCACTTCTTTTCAGCATATTCCAGAAATACATATCTATATATAATTTATGCTTAAATACGTTACAAATTTGGATCCACTAGCCAATAATCTTGACTGGTTACCTCAGTGAGGAAGAGAGAATCTAATGACTGCCGTAAGCTAGATTTGTTGAAAACCGTAACTTTTAAAGAACACAAATTTGTAGTGAAAGAACAAGTTCCACTTAAACCCCAAAGGGGTTACATAGCAATGTCAGTTGCTGCTGAAAGGACATTACTAAGGCCAAGAAGAATTAACACTAGTTATGCAGAATTCCTCTACTGATACATGTACTCTTCCTTACTGTTCTTCAATCTGTATTATCAAGTACAGAGGAAAGCACAGCTAGAAAGCCAAGATTGTGAACAAAGAAGTGAGGCCTATTATAATTTTTGGAATATGAATACCTAGTTAAAAGAAACAGTGAATGCGTCCTTTCTCAGGCATGTGGGAGAACAGTCTCTACATTGAGACAGCAGGGATTGGAAAATAGATATGCATTAGGTAGACTGACAAGAACTGTGGAAACAGCGTATCTGCGACGGTTAGTAAATAGTAGATTCTGCTTTAAATCCCCCGAGATAAGCAACATAAATAACAAATAATTTAAATAAATACTTCTAGTAAGCAGGTCCTAACATAGCCATAATACCTGTTTTTGTTTTGGTCTCTCCTTCCTTTTTTTGAATTAGTTTCTCAGCATCTCCTGCTCTCAGCCTCTTCAACACAGATACCCACTCATATGCTATTTTGCCTCCCTCTCCTTCACTGCCTTTTGAATGTAACAATCAATATTGACTAATTTTGTGATATTTTTCCCCCCCAAAGACCAGGTTTCAGAAAAGCCTGCCAGTGTCCTGCCCACACTAATATCCCCCAGAATCCTGCAACCCAAAATTCCCACGCAACATGTGCTCTCCCCCTCCCCCTCCCATACTCCTCAGCCCACCCTTTTCCTTCCAATGCCCCTGCGCTCAGACGGTGCCAGGAAATCCCCTTAATTCTAGTCTCAATCTAGAGACTAATAATCTAGATTATTAATCTAGAGACTAATAATGGCAGGGGTATTCTCTAATCCTGCCATTTTTATGCAGGATTACGCCTGCACATCTCCTAACATAATCATGGTTTCCTACAGGAAACAAGTTCCTCACAGCAAAGCTCCGCGGTCCCGTTGTACTACATCGCTCAATGGACTTTCCTGGAAAGAAGAAACCCATCCCTATTCACAGTGCAAGCTCAGCTTTTCTCACAGTTGCTGTGACAACCTCCATTTAACCTCCCAGCCCTACCAGCTGAAAATATATTCTAGATGGTGATCATTTTTTTTTGGAAAGTGAGAGAAGGTGATTTAAAAAAAAAAAAAAAAAGGAAGAAGCAAGAAGTACATCACCTTGCAATAACTAAAAAAGCAAAACCAGAACATCCTGAAGTATACACAGAAAATATTTTTTACTATCAAATATTTTACCTGAGGAGGATGAGGATGCCAAGGAAGCTGAAGAGGAAGATTCAAGAGAACTGCTGAAGAGTGGATCCCATGCCAGGAGGTCACTGTTCCCCTTTCTATATTAAGAGTTACAATTGGAATACAAATGAAAGATGTATATACTCATCAAAATCAAACTACAACTTCAGTAGTAGTTTGATAATACAATAAATATAATAATATGGTAAGTAAATTTGATAAATTCTTCTTTATTAGTTAGTTTTGCATCTAAAAATAAAAAGCACTTACAAATTGCAGGTCAAGGAACTGATTTACACATAAGGAGACTATCTGAACTGATGCCTTGGTGCAGGTTTGTGTGTGGACATACTTCATAATGTCAGCTAAATGATTGTCATTTTCCATGAGACACACACCGCCAAATCCATTTATTTCAGTATATACATATATAAGCAATATATACAGACCTGTCCAAATTTGGGACTTGTAATCTTAAAGGCTTTACCATGGAACACTATAGGATAGAAACTAAATCTGTCTTATTTAAAACCCGAGATTTTAATAAAACCCAATATTTTGTAATCATGTAATTAAAAATATCAGTTGAGACAAATCACAATGAAGCAAATGCATTAGGAGGGGAAAACAAATTAAGAGAAATCTCCATTGTTACATAATTACTCTTTAACTCTTAAGATACGATAGATGCCCGGCTTAAAATAGCAGTCAGCTGATATTTCCAATGAGTTTCCAAGTATTGGATGATCAAAATAAGACCAAATTCCCGCAAAACTGCATTTGATAGAATTTTAAATTTGAACTTACTCATTATTTGGAGCAGAAAGCTTTGATTTTGTTAACTCTTCACCTAAGCAAAAGACACAGTATTATCACCAAAGCTGTGACACTCTAAAATAAAAATTTCAGCTTCATTATAAAAAGATAGTAAATACTAATGGTTGCAGTATGAAACTAATTATAAGTTATTAAAATGGAAAAGAGAAAATGCATTATTTCTAACAATATAGATTCAGATACTCCCGAAATACCTTCTGATAGGACAAGACTACACAGAGCAATGCATTTTGGGTGGAAGTGGGGTTCACTCAAAATTTCTTCCTTAAATTATACTGTTTACATCAATATTATTCTTCAGCAAACCTGGCTTGGTTTCCCACTGAAAAAATCCCTACAGCATAGAGACTAATGACCTGTTCTCTATCTCCATGGTCACGTTTTACGTGTTTGACTATAAAACAGTGTGCACTTTGCTGGTTTGTGGATCATACTAAACTTGAACAGGTGGAAGGGTTTTAAGAACTTGCACAGGAGTCTTTTCCATGCAGTCCCTCCTTTGGCTCTTGGATGTGTTCCTCATCACTGTCACAGACAGCCTCATCTGTTTCCCACAATAGGGAACAGCCAAGTATATAGAAAAGGAAGAGGTATCTAGAACTGACAAAAGAACTATTTTTTTCTATTTAAAATACAGATACTTAAGAAGTTTATTTCTTCAACAATTAAAAAAAAAGTCTATTTTCACGCTATGTTAAAAAACTAACATAAATAGACTAAAAGATTCACACTTACTGGATGAATTTCGATTCATTTGTGCCTGAAACAGGGAAAAAAAAAAAGGGATAAATTCTTCTACCAACTGTCAAATCAAATGCTTAATAGTCCCAGGGTTCTTCTTCCACTCAACTTTCTATGAGATACTTTGCTTTCAATGCCAGGCAAAACATTCTGAGCTTGCGGAAGATGAGAACATGAGCCAGGACAGAGGAACCAGTGCACACCTGCTACACCAGTAAGAAAAAGCAGGAACGAACACTTTAGAGCTGACAAAGAGAGCAGTATTACTAAATCCCTTTACAGACTGGGGCAGTAAAATTAAACAGCTTACCTATCACATGATATATATGAAAAACATTCCTAAGGTTTTCCCAATAACTCCCCTCACATACTACACTTACTTAGTTTTAATCTAAAAATGTGAATAAAAAGGCATTCTGTACTTACAGGACTGTGTCTCTGCTTCCAAAATGTGGCAGAAAAAAAGAGAAAAATAGTCATTATTATTTTAATATGTTATGCACAATATTTTCCTTAAAATCAGAGCTGTTCTTATTCTGATCCAAGTATTGTACTAGCATACTTTAATACTACTTATTTGTAATATCCTCTCATGGCATAAAGGATCATTCTGTGGATTGGCAGAATACATCAATAAAGCTGCAATGTAAATGTTATATGTACCCACATTATATGATGTTTTAAAGGTTTGTATATTATCAAATACTAATTAGTAAACTACGTTAAAAGCCACTCTCAGCTAACTCCACAATGTATTCAAAGGTCTTGTGGTGGCAACAGCAGAAAGACAAGGACTGAGCACTCCCAAGACTCGAAGGAAAATTAAAATCTGAGAAGGGAGAATTACTTAATGTTACACTGCAATAAAGCGTACCAAAGATGACCTAAGAAAAAAAAGAAGAAAAAAAGAAAAAGGAAAAAAGAAAGAAAAAAAGAATCATTGAACTTGAACCGAGAATAAATTCTGAACAGTAAAATATGTTTACGCTAAATATTCTTTACCACTTTTCTCTTCTACGCAGTAAAAATACAAGGAATAAAGTAACTTACAGATATTGCTGGAGAAAGAGTGATGTTCCCTATAGATACTTTTAATTCATCCAAGGAAGGCATGGTATATTGAGAGCTATTATTTGGCTGGACAGGTTTTATTTCTACATGGAACCTCCTGGGTTCATCATCTTCAGAGTCAGAATCACTGGATGAGTAGAAATGGTTCTCTTTGGTATGTTTTTCTCAGTTAAGGTGGAAATACTTCAAATTCATCCGCTTAATCAATTTCATAATTACACTCTACAAAATGCTCATATTAAGTGAACGACACAGATAAAAAATGCTACCTAACCTCTTTGTGCACTTATATAGACACTTCAAATATATCCACTGTCCAAAGTTCACAACTCGGATTTAAAACTTAGGTTTTATATTCCATTCATCCTCATAAAGGTATTCTGTTCCAAAAGGCACTATGTCATATAACTGAGCAACTGCATATTTGAAGGCATCAGGATAAATTAAAGATTCTACAGTAGTAACACTTCTGCATGTTAAATTTACCATTTGTAAGACTCAACCAGGGATTCTAACATATGTAAGAAAAATGTAGAAATCCTTTCAAACCAAGTGAAGGAAAGCCCTAGCCTTTTTAATGCCCTTTAGCGAAATGCCCATGGTATCTGTACCAAGCATTAACAGTAGAGGAAGCAGCAGCAGTGGCAGCCATCATAACTTGCCCCTTTTGCAGAGTGGCACTGAAAATTTTGCAAGAAAGGATGCCAATTACACAGAAGGCTGCACAGTAAACTGAACAACGTCAGCCACTTAAAGTACTGTCATCCTTGGCAAAAAAGGTATCACAACGACAACTCGGCCCTCAAAATAAGTAAAATATACAGATGAATTTAGCTCTGCGTTCTCCTCTGGCACAACAGCTGCACTGAACAAAAGCTCCGAAAGGCCTATGCTAAATCTTAAAAGATACATTTGTTTTGACAAGAAAAAATTTGAAAATTTTCCTCTACTTAAACATAAAAGTTTCATACCACCTAGGGGGAGCCTACGTATTCTATACCTTGCTTCTGTTATTTTCACTTGGAAATATGCCACCCATTTGAATTAAATCTCTTCAAACTATTCCCTGACAAATATTAAAACCTCAACCCTAAAGACATTCCAAATCCATTTCAACTGAAAGAATCCCTGAGCCATAGTGAGGAAAAAGTCAAATGTCTTCATCTTACAGCCTATCTGTCCCCCAGAATGGATCACGTATAGAAAAGAAAGTTTCAAAGACAAGTCATTTTTCATTTCATCAAAAGATCTCCTGTCTTGAAAGTTATCACTGAGTTTCAAGATTAATTTCCTACAAATCAGGCAGCTCTTGTAAAGTGCTTTTCGAACACTTAAGACTGGACTTACTAAGACAGACTGCCAATATGGTAAAATAATGTCCTCCATCAAATCATCTCAAGAGTTCCCATCAACAGAATAATTATCCAGTCTTGGAGGCTAAGGGAGGAAAAGAGGAAGGGAACTGTTGACTTCCTGAATCTGGTCAGATTTTCAGAAGCTGAAGTAGCACCTGGCTGACAGGGATTGCAAATCATTGAGGTTTTTCATTGACTGTATGGACTTTTCTGTTGTTTCACAACAAAAAAGATAATGTAGAAAAGGATGTCCAGATGAATCACTTGCAAAGCATGAATGTTGTTCACTCCCCTCTCCCTTTCATAAATATATGCAAAGCATGAAATAATGCCCCTCTCATAACTGGATAAAAAAGTCTTTCACTTTTCTATCAATTTTGTAAATAGGAGATAACACAAACTGCTTTTATCGGTACCGGAATCTTCACTGAGGGCAATCGAGGCATATTCAGCAAAGCTGATGAAAACAGGGAAGCTATGGACTGGCCCACTTTAAGGTGCTGTGAACTGCTTAAATGTTTTCATCATTTAAGGTAATTGCAAAATGTAAGTTCACCTTTTATCTGCAGTACCCAGAGAATTCAGTGAATACATTTCCAAAAATGAGCTATCTTGCTAATATATTAGGCTTGCTTAGATCTACAGTGATTATTCCCAGCTCTTAAGTACAGCTTCCCTCTGTTTCTGATGGGAGGAAAAAAAAGAGGACAAGAATTTTTTTCTTCAAAGGAAGAGCAGAAAAAAATCACAAGCCTCCATTAAAAAAGACTCATGACAAAAATATATTCAAAGCTATTATTAAAAAGACAATAAAAGCTAGAAACACCAATTAGAAACAGCATATGGTGTAATGACTTCATTAAGTAACAGAAATTCTATTTCTAGACTGCTGCAGCTCCCGGTCTTTTTAATGGTGTTATAAAAATGTGGGAGGGTGCAGGTATAGAATAGATAACGACTCTGTATGCTTAAAAAAAGTTTGCAAACTTTACATTACAAACTCTCTGAGAACTTTTCAAGGAGAAAGATCTGCACGGTCACCTTAGAGCTTTTGTTCAGGCTTTTTTTGTTTTATTTTGGTTTTTTACTATCAGACAAAAACCATCCTCTTAAAGTTCCCAAGACATCTGATCTAATGGTTAACATTTGCACACACACGGAATCTGAGATAAGACAAAATTTTGTACATTTTGCAGAAGCTATGAACATAAGAATACAAGGTTGCAACATAAGCATGAATGTCATTAATCTTCCATTACTTAACACTTTAATCAGTACTTCCTCTCTCCACAGAACTGTAGTAACATCCAATAACTTGGCACAATAATAGTGAAAAGGATATCCTGTGTTGCTTCTGGTTTAATGCTGTATCCTTCATCATCTACATCAGGAATGTTCTAAAAACAACAACAAATATTATGATATTGATTATGACAGCTCATGAAAGTCATTGTTATTCACCATTAATTACTACAGTTATCTCATGTTATGATCCGTAGTTCAGAAGTAGCATGACAAAATACCTCAGGAACAGAATACAACAAAACAACCTCCAAATTTCCTATGAAAACTGGCAAGTTTGCATCTGCTTTACTGGTACCTTATCAAAAAGGTCAGAAACCAACAGATGCATTTTAGCTTTACTATTGAGGGTTAAATAAGCCTACAATTCTTTTCGCCCCAAATATTTTCCCAATTTGTATTTCTAATTCCCTCAGCTAAGTCACTGGAGGCTCTGATAGTGCAGGAGCAAAACCTTTCTTCCTAAGTACTAGTCAGTACTTTAATATGTGAGTAAAAGCATTCTAGGTTACACAGGTTACAACTTCCTCTCCCCCCTTGAAAAGGCAGAAAGCCTGCACTGCACTGTTGCATTAGCACAGAATATCCACATTAATTAAAAGTCACGGGTGAAATACAAGTGCTCAAAATCAGGTTCCAAAGTTTTCCTTTACACATCTCCAGCACCATCCTGGATTTTCAAAACTAATAAGTATCTGGAAAATTCAGACTAGTTCAATTTTTTAGTTCTTGCATGCAATTAAATATGAATTGAAAAGAATTATGTTAAAATCATTTAGAATGTTTAGCTAAGCACTTAGTTTCATAAAAAAGCTTTGAGGCAGAAAGAAGCAAGTCTCTACTATAATAATCTAAATTTTAAAAATATGCAAAAACCCCACACTCGTGTATACTATATATAAAGGGATAAACTTGGATACACAGATACTTTCCCCATTCAGAACAGAAAAGCCCACTCATGACTTTGTATGCATAGTTAGTCTATGTGAACTGCTCAGATGCCTCAGTAACTTTATTACAAAAACCCACAATCCAAGTGCCTTCAAAATGTAGTGATTTCACCAGTTACAAATTTCTTATGAAAATGACAAGATTCATATAAAAAAGTGATTTATTCTAGTGTAACAATCAGTTTATTCTACTAGAAAGTAGGTACTGGGAGGCAGTTTGACTAATAGAGATACATACAGTGTGGCCAAAATACACCTTGCTGCTATAAGGCATGAGATACAACAAAATGACTTACACTGGAGACTTCAAGTGGACTAGCAAGGAACCACTTGACTTCACCTAAAATTTGAAGCCAAATTTAAAGAGATATTCACCTTGAATAGCTTTTGAATTACAGAGGAAGATAAACATAAAAATGTAGTTGTCCCTCTATTCCTTTTACAGGTATCACAAATGGGACGTCTGATATTTTACTAAGAAGGATTCACCTCTGTATAGCTCTCTAAATCTAGCACTTCTGATTTAAATGGAATAAATTTAAACATAGATCAAACTTTCTGCTAAAAAGAATAAGAAATACAATCCTGTACAGGGGATGTAATACTGTACCCAATTAAATAGCAGATCAAACTAAGGCCAAAAAATAATCTTTAAGCTCAAGCCTTAAAATATGGAACATATAGATGCAATTTCTTGAAATACTTGTAAGATCTGGACTTCACTGCTATTTGATTTAAAAAAAAAGAACTGAACCAAAAAAAAAAAAGTAATAAGAGTAGGATCACACGGTCCAGTACCTTAGCTCTACTTGCTCAAATCAGGGTTCTTAGCTACGCTTGACCTCAGGCTGACCTTGTTTATATACCAAAAAACACTAATGAAACTTGACATCAAAGTAAACAGAACAAAAACATACAGCTAGAGGGTAGGTACATTTTCCTACAATACTACAACTTCTGAATTCTGAAATTATTTTAGTTGTCATACTAGGCAATTTTCAATAGATCAGGATCATTCATGGTTAAGATGAATTGAAAACCAACAAAAATCTTTACAACATTCTTTACAACAATCTTCATACAACATTTAGTTTTTCTTCCAGCTGGGCCATATATGTAAAGGACACTATTACTGGGTACACACAGCATGCAAAACATAGCTGGCAAATCTGACTATTTTGATATAAAGTTGTGAAAGAACTTAGTCTGCAGAAGTTATTTTCATTGCATTATTTTTATTTTACTGAATAACCTCTAGGATAAAGTAAATCCTTAGAAAGTACTAAAATCTTAAACTTCTTAAAGTATTAAATTTCATTCTTAATATTTTCATGTTAATTATTTCTGATCTTGCAAAGACAATTAAATCACCTATTCCTCAGCAAAGGCACTTCACCATGTAGCCTGTATTCATAACTTCAGACTAAAAGTCGAAGTTGATACATACATAACAGAGATGGATGCTTTGCAGCTTAAGTTCTGAACACAGGAACTGAAAAACTCCTTGCTTCTTTTTCAGCAGGCCTACATTACCATTTTTTTCTAACACTGTGCAGAAAACTTAATTTGTACTTTTTTTTTTTTCCCATTTCTAATATTTAAATAAAAGTAATTTAAAACATCTGATTCTACACAGCATATACAGAGTCAGAAATCATCTGCTTTGTATTTCCAGTTTTGTCAATGATTCAGATTGATAGATACATAATGTACCTTTGTATTAACAAAGACGACCTGTGTCACATACAAGCAAAATGGTACCTCAAAATGTAACTTACAAGTTAAGAAGTAATTTCAAAATATTGTTTTCAATATTTCGAACAGCTGAACAGGTGAACAGTTCTGCTTTCTGAAACATCAGAATTTTATTCACTAATCCACATTTTGTAACAGTGGTAGAGGACACAGCATTTTGAGAGATACATATTCACGAATGTTATGTTAATGAAGGCATTTACATGACTAATTCTTACTCCCTTCTCCATACTCCTACAGTTACAGAACTATATGTTATGTCTTGGATAACAGTGCGTCTTTTAAGTATCAGGCACACAACACAGACAAGACCTGATTTGCCTACCATGCTGATCAGAGGAAAAAACCACGACCTTCACATATACATTTCTCATTTTTGAACTTTAACACAGAAGAAGATGATCTTTGCAAACTTTGGGTTTCTGTAAGAAGTAGTTATTAATATGATGGGGATGAAGGGGTGGTGTAGCTCCCTACCCAAACACATTATTTGTGTGTATATAGCTCAATACGGATGTGAATTGAACTTTGCGGAAGTAACTGGAAAGGTCGACTTCTTTGGAAGGTTTCACATTCTCAGAGGTTCTGTTAAGCAATTAAACATATAGGTATAAAACCCATACAGTTTTCCCTGTGTTTGCAGATGTAATACACACATTACTAATTAAGGTGTTATATAGTTTTAAATATACATTAAAAATTTAGGGTTTATAACTCTGTCTTTGCATTAGTATGTTCTATGAACTTTCTGGGGTGAATAGTTTTTTAAAGAAACAAAACATAAGGACATAATAAATAGCAAAGTAAAACTGCCTAAACAAAAAGCATGAGGACTAAGCATTCTATTGCCAAAACTTATTTTTTGGGTTTTGCCGAATATTTTGTCTCAGTTTCCTTGCTCTGTTCCATCCATCATCCAAAAGCAATGGAAGAATCCACACCATTACCATGTCATTAGTTCCTCTGGGCTACATATAAAGGACAAGAGAGGAACACGTGGAGCATATTGCAGTCCAGCTACTTCATTTGGCCCTTCCTCAGCAATGTTAGCACTGTTTACAAGTTGGTCACCGGTCAAGAAGCAAAGAACCTTCACTACTCTTCAGCTTGATTTCTGTCTATTTTCTCTTCTGTGATATCTACAGTGGTTATGAGAGCTCCTTATCGAGTTTTCCTCAGGGCATGCTTCAAGATACAGTACAGCCGAACACCTCACTGTTTCTCCTTCTGCCAGATGAACTTTCTACCATTTTACTGAACTGGACTGACTTCCTGTAATCCTGATGAGGGCCTAAGTGAACTCAAAGTAAGCAGTTGAAGCTCATAGGCCGGAACAAGAGAAAAAAGACCCTCTCCACTTTTGACATATTTGAGATGTAAATTTGAGTCAGGTATATCCTTAGGTTAAGACAGAGGTACTACATATTATTGGCCTCCTCTCCTTAGGGTGCCTAGTAACCCAAAAGATATGCAAGAATAGAGTAGCCAGTCAGTTTCTTCCATTGCCAGAGATGCAGAGAGACAAACAGGTATTCAAAGTGCCCCTGTCTTGTGCTGTGACTACAAAGCCTTGTACCCTGTATCAATAGCAGTTATTCAAAATATGCCACAGCTAAACATTGCAAAATGCAAATAAAGAAAAACATTTGAATTTCACTAAATAAAAGATTACACTTGTGTTCCACTAATTAGAGTTTGATGGTTCCAAATTCAATCAGTCCCCAGCAATAAAAATGGTATATAATTCCATACAACCGTAATTATGCTATACTCACATGTAAAGAGGTTAATGAAAAGTTTTGGATGCATCAATATACTTGTTTACATTCCAGTTTCATATGAAAAAAAGTTGTAGCATTATGTTCTGTGCATCTGTGGCTCCCTTCTTAATTACTTTTGAACTTACTGGACAATTTTCAAATGGATTTGACAGACAGAACAGAGGACTCAAAGATAATTACATTACTACAGACTTCATGAAAATAGGCAGTCAAGTAGAAGAAGGAGATCTGCAAGTATTCCAACCTAGGGAAGGGTTGCAGTTCAAATTCAGATCTTACTGGACTCAAGTGGAACCTTGTAAATGCTTCCCCAAAAGAAAAGTTTCTACTAGAGCTCCTATCTTCCTATAGACCATCGCTAGAGACATGGTAAACCCATGGGAAATGAGACAATTAGTTCTGCCTTTAGAAAAATTTTCTAGGTAATAAACAAATACAGGGCCAGACTTCAGTTGGTATCTCTTTCTAGTGTACACATAGTTAACTTTCTACTTTTCTTAATTATCAAGGCTTAGCTTAATGGAAGTTACACATGTAGATTGACATAACACCACAGGAATTTTAAATCTCATGACATACTGTCATCTATATTTAAACAGAGACTGCTTATTGAAGTGGCTAACCTTTTTAATAAATACCCGTTCTCAGTTCACAGCTGCCTTCCTACTCATGAGCACATAAAAACCTCTTAACAGCAGTTGCAAAAAATTATTGATAGGAATTAACAATTTATTCAAATGCATCACATTTTCCGATATATATAACCTGGCAGCTACAACAGGATGCGCATAAATGGATGGCTTGCCACAGATAAATTTGATAACTTCCATTTTGGTACAAAAGACATTTTTTAGGACCATCCCACTCTTTTGTTTTCTGGAAACAGAATACAAGTTCGAACACACTGCATTATACGTTTTGGACTAGTGAGAAGGCCCTAATGGTATTGACTATATGCTGTGTGTTCCAAGATCCATAACACCACATACAACTGGTGGATAAAAGTATTGAAGTCAGTTCTTACTGGATCCTTAACTTCTAAAATTTCAAGTTATCTACCTCACTGCTTATGGTTATAAATAACTGTAGAGTGGCTATCTCTTCCAATCCCTTCACATAATTAAAATTTTTGACAAATAAACAAACCCCACATTTTTTAAAAAAAAGATAATTTTAATAATATAAAAGCCAGACAGAAATTTTCTGTGAGTGACCAAAGCTGGCCAAAATCATAATTGGGACACTTTAAATAAGTTGAATTTTCTGAGCGCTGGTCTTCAGTATTTTCTAGCAATCAAACACAAATTATAATTGCTTTCAATTTTTATTTTTTTGCGATAATACCTTCCCAAGTTCAGTTTCTTGAAATGTGTAATTTATTGCAAAGATCCATACAAATCAAATCCTCAGAGATAACAATATAGATGGCTATAAGTATTTAGATGAAGTTTGAAAAATTAAACAGAAAGGAAATCTTAAAGGTAAAAGACAAGAAAAATGAAAAACATTTGAAATGGGACCTTCCAGAAAAAGACACCATCCTTAAAACGTAAAAGCACTCTGGGGTGCTTGTTTGTAAGGGGTGAAATGAAACTCACCTACAGTATGCTGCATCATTTTTCATGTGAATGATGGTAATGGCTTCTGCTATTAAAGCATTCTACTATTCAGAATAATACTGTTGCTTGTAAAAAGCAAGAAGAAATGATAGACCAAATTTTAAATTCCAAATGCAGTCATAAAATGATGGGCATAAAAAAAAAAAAAAAAAAAAAAAAAAGCAACAGAAGGTACCAGATGATCATATGGTGTGCCTCATGTAGCCAGAAAAAATGTAAGACACATTTACAGTTGAATTTTTTGAACTGATTATTTTTAAAAAATGTAGAGACCAAAATAAGCAAAGAAGAAAATAAACATTGCAAGTCAAACCCAGTTGTGGTTCACTCCAGTGACGCAACCTGAACTGTCAAAAGATATTATTTCCATGAAAACCCTGATAATTATAGGGATAATTCTAAAATGACTTTAAATGTACCTAAGAAAATAAATTTGCTCTAAATCAAGATGACTTTGCACAGGATAAAATAACTGTCTTGATTATGCTTACAAGGCTGTTCTTACACATATAGTTCTATTATGTGGCAAAACTTGCTCTTCCTTATTTAGAAGAATGGTTCTACTAGATTTTTCAAACCAAGTTTCTCAAAATAAGTTTTAATATTAAGTACTAAAACTCCCAGATATTAAATGCAAAGAAGAAGATCCACAAAACAGGTGAACTTGAAAACTTAAATTGTTTACTATAATTGGCATATAAATAAATGAACTGAAACCCAAATGAGCCTACAGAAAATCACTTAAATTATTCTGTAAATTATTTGCTACTATAGCTATAGGGAGCTGCAATCTCTGTTACATATAATTCGAGACAGCATACATGTTTAAATAAAAAGAAAAGGCTCAATTAAGGAAATAAAAAAGCATTAACATACCAATTTAATTTGCAACTGTCACTTATTTGAATTTAATAAATAAAATCGTAAGATGTATCACAGATGAAACTGACAGCAATGAAAAACGGGCCATTAATAAAGTGCATCTAGAGATACTGCATTTAAAGTCGTATTTTAAAAAGTATATTCCTACACCCTATTGCCAGTGATAAAGCAGAATCCCATTGATATTAGAAGGATTTCTCAAAGGAAACAGTAGTAAGCAGAGGAATATGATGATGCATAGTTTGGTTCACAATAAACTGAAGTTTTTTCTTACTTAGAATCTACTAGCCGAGCATTTTAAACTATTAAATTGAAAAACAAAGGAGCACATGCTTGCAGTAAAAACACCTTGTTAAAAACCTAAAATTGTTAGGAAATAGAAATGCATTACTGACACATATTTGCAAATACTGTTAAAGACTATGTACTGAGCAAAATTAACACTTCAACTGTGTTATCAAAATATTAAATGCGCTATCAGATAAATAATGCATTGCAGGGACTGTATATAAGTTAAGTTTCATCAGGTTGTAGTGCTTGACAATATTAGCATATGCATTTGTTTTGGAAATAAGTCTACTTACAACTGAGTCTGCATCTGGACACTCCCTATTAAAAAAAATACAGAAAATATACAATTATAAAAGGCACAAATTATTTTATTCATACAGTTCTGGTACTTCCTTTAATATTTTCAATTAATTTGAAACATTGCATTTGACCCTCTTGCCTCTCTGACTCTGTTAAAATTTCACTAAAAAAAATCAAGGGAAGCCAGGAGTACCACGCTGTATTCTGGATGAACATACTTTAACAGTCAGGTCTCTGTGGTTGATGTGCACAATATGTGTAAGTCACCAATCCTAATGAAATAGTCCACATGCAATCGCAAAACATTTTGGATGATAACCAGTTCTCAAAGAAACTAAGACTATTCTTAGAGGAATTCAGAGCTTCCCTCTTTTGGAATTTCATTCTTAGTTCGTGTTTGTCAAAAGTTGCAGTCAAGCACTAGAAGATGTTGGAAAAAATAATAGAGTACCCTCCTAATAAGCACTTAAAAAAAAAAAAAGTCAGCAGCAGAAAGACAGTGATTGCAAGCACATTATTCACAAGTGTAATATTTTTCCCCTATAACATCGATTTAAGCAGTAGTATTTAAAAAAAAAAAAAAAAAAAGAGAATGACACTGATTCTCTCTGATGTCTGCAAAAAGCAGAAGTAATTACATTTACAGAATGTCGGAATACTTGAGTAGCATACAAGTCCTCTCTAATATGCATCCTGACAAAGAAACCCGAAGTGCCAGTGTAACTGAACAACAGTGCTTTTATATAATCAAACTGAACATGCTAAACATGCACTTAAAGAAAAAAGAGGGGGAAAAAAAAATTATTGAAATCTAAATAATCTTCTCTGACAGGCTAAATGGCTTAAATGTAAAAACTACAGTGTCTTTAAAAACAGGTACAAAAACTTGCTAACATGGAAGCATTAATATGAAATTCAGTACAGCCTGTTAAGGAATTGTCAGTGAGATGAAGGATCCCATCTCCTCTGAAAGGCCTCACACAAAAGAAAACATATGTGACCAAGTTTCTAATTGACTTATGCCTTATCTCCCTCTGCTGGCTAAACTGAATTCATAGCAATAGAAAGAGCTATGTTAAAAGCTATTTTACAGCTCTAAGAGACAAAGTATTTGACTTCCCTCAAAAGACATAACAAACAGATTTTCTGACATGTGGTTTTAAAAAGTGTCTGTACTCAAACAAGACAGCCTGAGGTCCATAAAAGTTAAGAAATGCAAAAGATGTGAGGCAAACTACAATGAGAGTAATTCAGCCCATAATGAAGATTTTCAAAATTAGCGAGCTAATAGACCTCAAAATATAATGGCAGATCTAGTGTCACTCAGAGGACCACCAACAGCACCTCCCAGGATCCATTCTCAAGATACAAAGGAAAACTCAATAGTTTGCAAATGCTGGTGGAGTGGAAAATGAGGACATCAGGTTTTAGACAGATGTGCTTTTATGTCACTAGATGCATGCTCTTTCTTTTAAGATTAAAGAACTAGGTCATGCTTCTAGTATAAGGTAGCATTTCAGCAAATGGGGATTCTGTAAAGGAATTTAAGGATTGTAGATAAAAACTAAAACAACCAAATCATGCAAGGCAGTGATTAGAAGAAGAAGTGAAATCCTTGACTAACCTGTATAGCAACATGTAATAGAATACACTGTGCATGGTATTTCCCTGTGTAAAACCATTACTAGACACAACATCCAGTTTAAGTGTCAGCACTTTAAAAACTGTATTGATAAACTGAAAAGCCTGCAAACCATGTGAGTTTTTCTAGATGTGGAAAGCCTGCCCGACACAAACTAAACAAGCTTACAGCCTAATTTAACAAGAGATTAAGAAAGGACTTGACCTCTATGTGCTGAGAAGTTTCTGATGATAGTGTTATATCATGTACAGCCTGTAACAGGATCATCAGCTGAAGATGAAATAAGACAGAATTTAGACTAGCAATAAAATTTTTTAAAGAGGTCATAAATAACTATTACAATATTTTACTTAAGCACATAGTGAATCCTCTGTTATTTATTTCTGATGTTCTAGTCCATGTAGAAGTTATGGATTAACGCAAGAATCTCTGTAAAAGCCTATGGCATGTGTCACATAAGAGGTCTATATCATGCCGTCATACTTCTTTCTTTCTGACCTCAGAATCTATTAATTTTTGTATTGTGTGTAAATATAGAAAGAAACAAAACAATATAAATCAAATTTCAGTCCAACTTGTTGAAAGCAAGGCAAATTCTTTTCCCATTTCAGAGTAGCTGAGCTGATTTATATTTTCTGATGACATCACAGTGCCACGAAAAACATTTTTTTTCTAGAAAGAGACCCTGATATTATCTTTCAACACTAAATAGAATGTCTTTAGGAAAAAGCAACTTTCAGAAAAGCATTCAGATACTACAATGGATACGCATACAAAGGTAGAAAGTGTTTCACATAGTGTAGAAGCAAGTTTTCAGCCTGCAGCGCCTAAGAAAATTTTCTTTCTTTTACAGATCAAAGAAAAACGTGATCTCCGAGAAAGGATACATTGTGTCATACACCTGGGAAGAGTTAATTTGGAGCTTCCAGGCCTTTACTGGCTCCAGAAAACTACTATTAAGAGCCCTAAATCTTTGCTGGGGCCAGATTGCATTTCATCATCTGCCAAAGAATGGATGGAAGGAGATGCCTGGTTTGCAAGGAGGCTTATAATATACATGACATGAGGTTAGCTTGAGTAATAACCCATGTGGTGGCAAAATAATTATTTTGTTGGACAAGAAAGGCTGACAGTTACAGAATTCAATCATACAACAGTACACAATACTATCAAAATCACTACTTTGCAATTAAGTAAATGCAAGACACAAAAGACAAATGATAGAACTTATTTTTTGCTATTTGCTGTTGCAACAGTTTTGCATCACAAAAAGTGTAGTAAATAACTTTCCAGAGAGAATGGATTACTTTTTAAAAGGGCACTAAACTTGTTCAAAACACTAATATCATCAAATATTTATAGCACTTTAATTTAATTATTTTAAACAAAGCCTTCATCAGAAAAAAGAATTTTTTGTAACAAAATAATATTCTTAGATTACTGCTGACCAAAATCACACTATATACAACACTTCTCTCACCATTTACTCCAGCTTAATAAAAGTACAGAAGAGAGGGTGGGGGAAAGACTAAATCACAGAAAGAACAGAAATATAGCGGAATGACTTAAAGCACCACCACCTCAGAGCCCTAAAAGCGTAATGACAGAAAGAACAAAAAGCATGGTTTAGAAGTGTATCACTATTAAAATTAAACACCAAAAGAAAAATAGCTATAAGGCACTTTATATGTGCAAATAATTAGCACCTGCAGATCTTAGGCGATTAATTTTTCAGCATTATATTAAAAACTAAGGCTGGTAAAATATTTTTTAAAAGCATGTATGCATACATGCGATTTATTGCCTCTGAGAATATTCCTATATTGCTAAGTTTCTCAAATTGTAAGCTGTTTTCTGTTAAATCAAATACTTTTATTGAGAAAACACATCTAGAAATTACTTAAAAAATACATTGAAATATAGTGACCATAACTACTAATACATAGACTGCAACCAATCCATCCCAGAACTTTGATTCAAACTCACTTTCTGGAAAATTATAACTCCTGGGAGACAGAGCACATGCAATGAACATGGCAAAGGGTATAGCTGGGACATCTGTCATGAGTTAGAATGATGGTCGTTCAGAAATGAGTGTGCACATGATGTACTGAAAAAAACATTCAAAGATTTTTCTGTCTTTCGATACTGTACACAAAAGTTTTTCTAATAAAAGAATACTGAAGCTCCAATTCTGCAAACCCAGGCATCCAGTACTTTTTCCATGTACAGAGCTATTACTTCATTAGGAGTACACATGAGAATCACATTATCTACAATGTTCAAATGTAGAACAAGGGAGAACTACTTACCTATGCACAGGAAAGAATGAAACATGAGTAGACTGCTATGAATATGTATATGTTATCTCCTTAAAATCCTTAGTTACAAAATCTTAAATAGCTGTGACGTTTTCGTACTCATAGCATTCCTCTAAACTTGTTAAAAAACCTTTTTTTGTTAAATACCAGCTAATGTTTATCCCCATACTTTTACTAGTTTTCATACAAGATGCGGCTTCAAGATGGAAATATACTTACACGGATTCAGTATCTTTTTCTTTTTTCATTATTCCAGATAAACCAAAAGGCTTCCTCTTCCGTGGTTTTATCCCTATGGAACAAACACTTTTCATTTAAAGATCAAAGAGATAAGTACGTATTTAGCAATGTCAAACATGGGTGCACACCAATGCCAATACATTTTAAATGCTGCCACAAGTGATGCAAAAATCTAACAGCGGAGGTAAGTATGGAGCCAAACTATGGGAACATTATTCCAATTTGTTGTTAAGTAACATACCAATCAAAAAATTAAATTAAAATATGGTTCAACACACTAATAACATAAGTCCTTATAAAATTGATTTTCATTGTACATCCAGCTCTCCAAGTTGGGTATGCAGACTGTCACTTTTTTTAACAGAAAATGGGTGTACTGCCAGTCTTGAAAAAAAGGAACTCTGCTCACAGAAACTCAACAGGAGCTATTGCTCCAGCTGATCCTGAATAGCCAATGCACTTGGATCAGAAACTGAACCCTGCCTCTCCCAGCTACTGGAGTTCAACACCCTGTCGTTATTTCCCAGCATGTTCCCAGTAGCTGCAAGCCTCTGTCTCTCCTAACAAGTAGCATCTTGGTCCTGTAAAAAAAGAGAAGGTCTCTTGGCTTTCCAGCTGATGGCGAGTTCATGATTTCCCAGTGCTGCAGCCAACCATGCCTCCCCTCTGTCATTTCTTCCCTGTTGGATACCTAAAGCTATAGTACAGAAAAAAAGTTTGCTTTGATACCCGTTTAATGTTCTAAAATTAAAGTACATTTAAATATTCCATCAGACTTGCTGTCATGTCTGCTTCTCTCCCCCATTTTTGCTGAAGCAGACTGCCAAAAAAAATGGCTAAGTGCAAGCATCTGATCCAACTAGTCTACAATTTTGTTTTGATGTATGATACTACTGACAGCATGCTTTTGAGCAAAATGGTGGAAATAATTTGGTTTCTAAAATTTAACAACTGACAATTCAAGCACATCATTAAAAAAAAAAATCATTATATTCCCCTTTACAGAAATACATTATATAAGGAATCTCTCCACTCTTAGAAATTTTCAGGGTTAAATAACTCAAAACTTCTCAAATCTGGCAGCTGTAAACTCAGCCATATCTTATATTTTAAGAGAGACAGAATTTGCTCCAAACTTATTTTTAAATGCTAGTCTGTGCCTTATGCAGCCTAAACCAAAGACAAATGGGAGTACGAGAGTTGTTTCTGAACATGGATCCTCTCTGCTTCAGTCAAAAAAGATTTTAATTCTCTGCTGCAATCTTGGCAACTTAAAAGTTGTCAGCTGCTATAGCTATATTGTCAACTCCTCTGTCCCAAAAGCAAATACATAGCTTATGCAAATAAAACAGTTCTTAACCACTTAAAACAATCCCCTAAGCAAAATAAGCTACGCAAACAAAGAAAGGCTTTGCGACCATTACACTACATTAGACTTGGTATAACTAACATGGTAACAATGGAAAGAGCCTGAGACATGTTTTGACACTTGTGAATTATGTTACAACACTGTCATAAGAGAACTAAATCCAAACCTCTGCAAAGACAGGGTCTTAGCCAAAGTATATTTATAAGAAACATTAAAATTCTTTGACCTTTGTGCATTAGGCTTATAAACTATCATAGGTCTTATTTTCACTGAAGTTTGTTTCTCAAAAGAGAAACTGCTTTTTAGTCTACTGGAGTACTTTAAAGTTATATAGATTCACCCATCGAATACCCTTCACTCCACAGTTTCAGATCCTTATCCACAGCATTCTTATGTAAATAAATATGCTACAAGAACTCACCTTCAACTGCACTGGATGTGTTACATTCTTCAAATTCAATAGGGCCTTAAACAAACGACAATGAAGATAAACATTAGGTCAAATTTAATCTAAGACATTTTAATGACTATTAATATTTCCTGAAAATACTAGATAATCTAATTATAAATTTAGATTGCAAACAGATTGCAAAATCATACATGTACAGCAAATCATGAAATATATTCACTCTTTCATACTGAAAAATTAAAATACTAGTGTACAGTGTCTAAATACAATTCAATTGCCTATGTTATTACGACCACATGAAACATCTCTAATTGGTGTCCTCTTCTCATTCAAAATCGCATCTATAATATAGTAGCAGTGTCAAGTTTACAATTCATCTTCTTTTAACAAACAAGTGCTACTTAAAGAAAAATCAAAAAGAAAAAAAGCATAGCTGTAGCCCTAATTCTGAGATTCACACTTTTGCTAATTCTGTGTTGTTAGTTCTTCTGTTTCCTCTTGATAGCCAATTACCTAGACAGTTAAAAGTGGCATGCAGAATCTTAAACATAGCAATGAAGAAGATAAAAAACTTTAAATCATTAAGACTAAACAGGACAAAAAAGCAGGAAACACTAGTTAAGTGCTGTATCTAAATAAATTAATTATTACAGTTTTCCATGACAGTTGGCATAAGGTCACAGTCAATTGTCATTGCAAAGTGAAGTCCTAATCCTCATTCTTTCAAGTCTGGCCAGGTCTAGAATTTATTTAACCCCACTATGAGCCATTTTGGGGAGTAAACAAGCAGAAAAAACAGTGATTTTCCACAGGACCTTGTTCAGGGAACGGCAGAATCACACCAGCACTTGGTGAAAGAACAAAGAAAACAGCACATGCAGGCAAGCACCATTACTTTCAGCCCATACTAAGAATGAACCCTTTGGCTCCTGTTTGAAACAGTAGCTTGCAACTGTATCCACACAAGAAAAAACAAAAGTTTAGTGCACACAAGTTTACATATAGGCACATTACAGATAAGATATGGGGGGGAAGGGGAGGCACACATGTTCCCAATTCTATATTTGAAGGCAGCCAAAATTCGCCCCGCGCGCTTATGCAACTACTTCAAGTGTAAGTTTAAAATCTCGAAAATTTCAGTTAAAACCAACTGGAAGTAAAGCGATTGTGGAAACCTCACATACAGAAACTACTTTCACTCCTGCCCTAAAACATACCTGCTAGTAAGTGCTCTGATTTATTTATCTTTATTATGAAGTTATGATTATTTGTGAGCATCCACCATAAAACCAAGAGCTGTGCAATTTTCAGGGTGTTTCACATAAAATAAAAGGTATATTTGAAAGTATTTTCCAGGATTTTCACTTGTACTCTTTTCAAAATGCATATGTCATACTCTCAGTCTTAAAATAAATAGCTGATATAAACAGATCTCAGATACAAGAAACATGGAGACTACAAGCTTCAGTTTGATTTTAAATAGCACACCATAGCAAATCATCATACTGCAATTAGAGATGCCACAATGAAAGCAAAAGAAAATTTAGCTGTGAATTAGCATTGTAAATCACACAACTGGGATTAATTTGTATTTGATTCATGCAGTGAAGTACCTCAAATGGTTCTATTTGTAGTGTAACCCCCAGTATGTATATTTAACTCTTGCAGTGCAAAATTGTGTTCAACTCAACATAAACACTATATTTTGATAGCATTTCTCAAAACTGCAAATGAAAAAAATTATGTTTGTCAAACAAATAGAAAGACAATTGAGAAGTGACAATGTAACTCAATACTCACCAATGTTAAGCAAATTGAATTATTTTAGGCATATTAGATAAAATCTACCAGATATTTTCTTTGAAATTTTGCAGACTTCTAATGATTTTTTTTTAAAAAAAAAAGGTGTGCTCAAAGCAATGACTAATTATTGCAAATAAGACCGCGTTTGCAAAATTTTCCCTGCCAGTAAAAAAAAAGATCTGAGTGCCTGTAAAACTAGCAGCAGGATGAGAATCTGGGACTAGAACCCATCAATATCTCATTTATCATAATGTAATTGTCTGAAGCTCTTGAGAGCAGAATATTCAAAAGACCGATCTCAAATGGCAGTCTTAACTGCCCTTTAAACTTCAATTATTAAATAATTTCAAATACAAGTCTACTTATTCAATACAAGATGAAATATAAATTCCTAATAGCTTTCTCATTCTACTAAATATTGTAAATACATGGGCATTTTAAGCTGGTCTTCCAGTCCCTTCTCTCCACTAAATTCACAGTAAACCAAAGACAGTGTGCTCCACAAATCAGCAAATCTGGGTATCTCACAAAACAAAAAACAGCAAAAAAAAATCCATAAAAATTGATTTAGAGAACTGTACATGTCTACATCCCCACACTGATTTCATCAACATTTTATTTTAGGAATTTAAACTCCATTGTTCAAAATATATTGAGCAAGAAATTCAGAAAAATACCATAAAACGTAGAAGCTGAAGAACAAATCCATTACTTCAGCACTACACTTCACACAATATATTTTTCATCACTTTGCTAAGAATTCAACACTAATTCTGTTTCTTGCTTCTATACATATTCCCATTTGGCCAGGAAAAAAAAAAACACAAAAGCCAAACCAACCACACTCATCCCCAAAACAAAAACAGAAGGAAAACACTGTAAACAACAGAGACTTAAACATATTTTTAGAGAAAAACAATACTCAAGCTTTTTCAGAATACCATCTTTTTCTTTACCCTTTCCAGCTACTAAGACTGATCCCCAGACTTTTAAGACTTTTGCACTAATGATTAAAATAAATATTCAAGACTCAAGTAAAACTCACCCTTATTTCAGATCAGTATCTTTCACTTCTAACACAAGCAGAAAGCAAAGATTGTCTTTAACAGCACATCCAAATTCCTGTATTTTGTCCATTGCACTTGCCTAGCACTTATCTTTGAAGGTTTTTTTTACAGCTTGATAAACTTTTTATTTGAAGTGACAAACATTCATGTTTAGTACAGAAACACACAGATACAAAGATCAGATTAGCATTTTCAATTAGATTTAACAAAGGCTAGTGTC